AGTTTACATGTTCCAACAAGGCCCTCCCAGCCCCTTCCGCAGGACCCAGTGAGAGCGGCAGAGTGGCTACAAGCCCGCATCCCCAGAAGCCAACGCTGAAAAAAAGCAACCTTGAGAGTTCAAACCTGCATTCTCATGCGGGGAAGCATTCCAACTTAATTTTGTTTGATTGCTGGTGGTTTTTGATGCATGGCATAGGTTGATGTGGGAGAGGATCTTCCAGAATGTTGGGTCTATAATATCTTAAATCCTATATCTATTTATTCTGGTGTTCCTGAAATGTTTTTAGGTGTTTGATCTCTGGATGATGAGGTTTGGTGGCCTTTTTTGGGGTCTGGAATCCCCAGAAAGGGCAATTCTTGACAATTGTGAGGACTCGATATTGCTGTGATGGATGCCCTTTTATTCAAAAAACAAGAAAACAGAAGAGACCAGGTGTTTCTCGAAATCTTCTTTGTATCATGCCGAGGCCATTTCCCATTTGCATTTACGCAGCTTGTGCCTTGACTACGTCCTGACCTTGAATCCAGTCGGATCAGCTGGAGGTCTTATGAGGAACATGTGGTTGCAAGACATGACATGGTTTGTTGGCAAGAGGTGGCAAAAATGTGTATGGTTCAAAATTGCTGACCCTTCAAACTGTGTTGCTTGCTTTGCATTGCCAAATCCCAATTTCTTGGGGGCTGCAGTTGTCACCACGTGACGTTACTTTCAACCATCGATCGCCAGCGTCAAGCCCAAAAACTTCATTTGTATTGGTTGAAATCAGAAACCTCCAACCATATTCAACCAGCATTTGTTGCTTCATCATATGATCAGTCAAGCTTGCAGTCCCATTACGTTTTCTTTATCTTTTCTTCATATCACAAGATCATGTCTGACCCTGGCCCATGTTGACCAGTGCTGGCAACTCCGGATCATCGGAGGCCTGTAGCTTGGACGTGATTCAACTTCACGTCAGGCTTCTCACTGGTCCCTGCCACCCTGGGCCGGATGGGCAGGGAAGCGCGACAGCTGGTTTCAAAGCAAGTTGAACGCAGAAAATTCAAGCTAACGTTGCTTCATACTGCTTCAGCGCTAGTGCCCCACCAGACTCTACAACAGCAAGGCATCCTGGGCCAGGAAGCGGCCGTAAATTGTCCTTTCGTGCCAATAGATTGGTGTGCTGGGTGGTGTTGCGTGTGAGGAAATACCGTCTCTGACAGCGCGCATGCAATGAAAGGGGCCATGCCCCAACCTGCCCCCGTGCCTTGAAAGCTAGGCCCGGCTTGGTGGCCTTCGGTTCCGGAAGTGCACAATAGGCAATAGGCTTCAAACTTTGACTTTTGGTGGCGGGTTCGATCAGGGCCTCCAAGACTTCCAAGATATGTATTTGCCAAATGGTCTTCAGACCTTGGCCTCCAGTTCAACGCCAAATTGTCTTCAGACCTTGGCCCTTGGCCTCCAGTTCCAAGGTGTGACTTTGCCAGATGGTCTTCAAATTTTGGCATCTGGTGACGATTTCAACCAGAGATGTGACTTTGCCAGATGGTCTTAAAACATTGATTTTGTTCTTGCATCAGGGCCTTGACTGTGTGACTTTCCCAGAAACTCTTCAAACTGTGAACTTAAGAGCCAGTTTCAACCAGAGCCTCCAAGGTATGACTTTGTAAGAGGGTCTTCGAACCTTGACTTTCGGTGATTCATTCTGCAAGAACCTCCAATGACTTGGCCAGGTGGTAGGTGTGACTTGGCCTCACGGCCTTGAAACCTTGACCTTTGGTGACGACTACGACCAAAGCCTGGAGAAAGTCATTTGGCCTAGCGCCCGTGTGTTTTTTCTCATCCCAATACGGCTTCTCTGGGTCAAAATGGTGACGGACTCCGCGTGCCATGGTCAACCGCGACAGGGTAGACCGAATCCCGATGGGCTATTGTCGCTTTTCCTGTCAACTTGTCGGCGAATAGAACCGATGTCAATCCACAGTTGGCTTACATGCCCATGCTTTGTTGTATGCTACGTAAAAACAAAGTAACAAAAATATTCAAAAACCAAGCCATTTTTGGTTATCATTGAAATTAAGATTTTGATAGCGCCGCAAAGCCCCGGCCTGCACCAAGGCTGCTCCATTGCTGTTGACTGAAGTGATCTCTGCCGTGCTTGGCCTGCGACCTCAGGGGTGTGGGCCAGCTGGTATGTTTGGATGGTGATGGTGGTTGCAGTTCCAGGTGTAATAAGATGTACATAATAAGTATTAATAAGTAAGTAAACGGTCATATTCTCATGTTCCTTCAACTTTGAGGGTTATAAGCGTCATCATCCGTTCCACATGGTTGCAAGTGCAGGGATAGGGGTTATATCTCAAGTCGCGGGGGCTCAAACCATGGTTGCATAATCATTAACATCATTTAACATTCCCAGAATGCAAGCAGCCAAAATGGAAATCATCAAAGACAATTTGTCAACAAGCATCGGGATTTTGAGCCAAAGCGCTTGGGTTTCAAGAGTTTGAAGTCTTAAACAAACAGGATGAAAAATATGTTGCAACTTCCCCTCTCAGCCTTGCGACAAGCATCAGTTGTTTCTTCTCTCCAGGGGTGCTGTTAGCAAACGCATTCTCCTGCCCCTCAAAGCAGCATACGGGCGTGGCGCCGGTATATTTTTGAGGATGAAGCACTATTTAAATATTACCTCGATGTCTCGAATCTGGGAAGCTTCGAACTACTTTCCTAAAGCATCATTTGATGATCCTGCGTCTCCCTTTCGTCATGGTGCCAACTTCCCGAAGTGTACAACCATGGGAGGGGACCATTGTTGTTCTTTCAATGACTCAACATGCGTTCCACTTAATGAGAAGCAACTAGCGAGTAGGGAATTACGTGTGTACGGCTTTTTTCGGTCGCGAAATCGCCCCCAAATACAATCAAAATTTGTTTAAGTTAGGTTACCTTCAACTTTCAACATATCGTTACAGCAACGAACCATGAAACGACAAACTGCCATCAACTTTGAAGTGCCTGTGGTCCCTCCATTGCTGACACCAAAAGGTGACGGAGGGATGGATGGCAGCTTGACATCTCTGACCATCCACGGATGTCAGTGGCCCCAGGGCCTCTACCGGGCCAAGTGTCCTTGGTGTCCTTAGTGACGATATCTGAAAGAATCCTGACGAAATCCTTGTCTTCGATCCTGTGTCTTGGATTATTTAGTTCAGTGAGTATGTCAGTCCAAACCCAGCACTTCTCCCAGGTTCTTCATGCTTTTTTCACCATTGAACATGTTCCATGGCCTTTCCAAGTGGAGTCGCTGCCAGGTCACGCTGTGAACGATGAAGCACTAGAGGAGCTGACGGTGAGTTTCGCGAGGCCCTGGGGGGCAGATCTCCCGGAATGGTTGCGAAGAGAAAAAGAGAAAAACCCACCAAGAAAATTCCGGGTATAGTAGCTTCCAAATGGATAGAAAGGTACTCCATCACTAGAACTTAGCCACATATTTTACACGTCTTGCTTGTTTGCGGGTTGCTGTGCGGAAAGCAGTTTTTTTTGAAACATTGCGAGATGAAACCGTGGATGTGGGGATGCTTTCCTTTTCTGACTGAGATGATTATTCTCAGCTATGTTATGTTTGAATCATGTTTGAATCAAACGGCCCGGCACTCTACTTGCTAGGCTGGAGCAAGTGCAAAGCTCGGACGGCGGCCGGGGTGGAGTTCACAACACACCAAAGATTGAAGCTATGACCAGCAGAAAAGCAACATGTCTGAAAGCGGAGTAGACCCCCAGAATTGCAAATTCAATCAAGAGAACGGTGGTTACCCAGTGGACTGCCAATGTAATTAAGTATTATCGCCCTATTTTCAGACAAACCGTGACCCCGTACTGTATAGGTGACAAGGTTGCGAGGTATTAATCTGCAAACAGTGGGTGTTTCCAAGAGATGTGGTCTGGATCCGCAAATTTGATCCCAAATTTGTAAGAGCAGGGAGCACAACGAAGACGGCGCCATACACCGACGGTACAAACGATGCAAGCATACAAGTTTAAAAGGCGGACCTTATAGGGTGATCGCCAGGCTTGTTGAATTAGCACCATACATGTTTGAAAGCCAGTCTAGGAGCACACAAAGATGGATTTGTCTGAAAATGGAGGAGGCCTTCAACTGGTTCAATGCGGAAACTGATGGTAAACAATCAAAATTTGAGGTTCTCCCCTACATGTTCGAGACAAATTCAAAGAGAATTTCCAAGCCTTCATGTCTGAAACCTCACCCATGCAAGGTTCGTTTCTTCCCTGATTCCTGGCGTGGTGTTGGCACTGCCACCACAGAGGGGGTGCAGCTGATGGTTGGGGGAGCCCAGTGTGGTGTAAGCCGGGTTGAATCCAACCAGATGTTTTAAGCACCTGCAACTAGAGAGAAACCAACCTCAATGGAATAGGATATCCAAACATCTCCTAGGTATAAAACTGTGATGATCTGAATTGGTTTCCCCTCTTACCTTTAGGTGCGTCGCCAAGGTGGACCGGCTTCCCCTGCGAGGATTGGCGCTCAGCTCGTAACGGAACTCAGCGCAGGGATGGGGAAGAGCAGCGCGGAGGTTGGCTTCAAACTTCCCAAGTTTCATTGAATTCGTAGCGCTGAAGATGCTGATGTCATCTTGAACTAGGCACCTTAGGGGAGAAAAATTGAATAGAAATTGGAAGATCACCATCTTTTTTTCAGGCATATCCAAGTTTCAGACACACCCAGGTGGGTAAAAAACGGTTCACCCCAACAAGTTTAACTTAAGATTTCAAGCAGTGCCAAAGCTGAGCCAAGGCAGAACCCCATGGAGGCTGGGATGCCTCCGCCAAGGGGGCCTGGTTCGATCAAGCAACCACTTCAACAGCGGACCAAGCTGAGCAAATCCAATTGTCATGTCAGTGATGTGTGTTTTGGCTAATGTTAGTATATTTTTGTTGTCTTTCTGAAAAAGAATAAAGAATAACCGTTTATTGGATTTCTTGAATGTTTCACCTTGGGCTTGGCAACATCACGTCCCATCCAACTACATTCTCGCTGTCTGGCTCAACACCTCAGCACTGCAGCCATGGCGGGAGAGCGTTGCCAGCGGGGCAGCGGTGAGGAAAGCCAAGTCATGTTTGCGAATGCATCGCTTGGTGTCTAGGCAGCACAACTCTTGGCAGCCATGGCGTTGATTTCCTGCAGGGTTCCTCCATTGCTGAGATCCCGCCAAAAGGACCAGTAAGGACCTAAATGGCAGGATTGGGGTCTACACAGCTTTCTCCAACAGTTTTTAACCCCAAGATCGTAAATCTTTGTTTTCTAACTAGGTGGTTTCATTACACAAAAACGTGATTTACATGGCTTTCGGACACCTTACCCCCCCTCATATATGAACCAAGATTCAAAACGTCTCTTCCAGCCCTTGCGAAAGCCCCAACTGACCCAGGTACTAAATCAACCACATCCGTTTCTTTTATCAGGAAGTCAAATTCAATATCTACATTGGACAGTTATAGTTATTCAATATCCAGGTGAAAACATGTGGAAAGGATGTGGCTAGTATGGCATGGCTTGATATGGTATAAGTATGAATTTACATTGGTTGAGAGAGAGAGAGAGATAGGTAGATAGGTAGATAGGTAGATAGGTAGATACGTAGATACGTAGATAGATAGATAGATAGATAGACAGATAGATAGACATAGATAGGTAGATAGATAGATAGACAGACAGATAGGTAGATAGATAGATAGATAGACAGAGATAGATAGACAGAGATAGGTAGACATAGATAGACATAGACAGACATAGATAGACATAGATAGACATAGATAGACATAGATAGACATAGATAGTCATAGATAGACATAGATAGACATAGATAGATAGACATAGATAGACATAGATAGACATAGATAGAAAGATAGATAGATAAATAGATAGACATACATAGATAGATAGATAGATGGACATGGACATAGACATGGACATGGATATAGATAGACATAGATAGATATAGAGATATAGATAGATTAGATTAGATTAGATCAGATTAGATTAGATAGATAGATAGATAGACATAGGTAGGTAGACATAGATAGACATAGATAGACATAGATAGACATAGATAGGTAGACATAGATAGGTAGACATAGGTAGGTAGATAGATAGACAGATAGACAGATAGACAGATAGACAGATAGACAGTCAGATAGATAGATAGATAGATAGACAGATAGACAGATAGATAGATAGATAGAAAGATAGATAGATAGATAGATGAGAAAGGTATATAGGTGGGTAGGAGGGTAGATGGATAGATGGATATGTAGACAGATGGTTGATAGATGGACAGATAGATACCCCTTGCCAAGTGTCCCTCAGTAACCCCCAAGGTCGCTGATCTCCCAGCGCTGTTTCGCCGCGGTGTCGTCCCCGAGGGCTTTGCCCCGGCATTGGACACTGGGGACTTGCCGCGGCCAGGGCAACAGCTGACAGAGGTCTGTGCGGAAGGCAGGGATGATGGGCAGGGAGGGAGCGGCAAAAACGAAGGTTTCACTAGGAATTTCAAATGTCAAGAAAGATTGAACCAACGCAAAATTGAGATTTCAATAATTTTTTTCCACCGAAGGAAAAATCAATAGGGGTTCTTTCAACAATATTTAACCAAGCCAAACTGTGATTTACAGTGTTTGGCAACCGAATATTCGAATTGCATAGAAAGTCCCTTTTTTACCCCGAATTAGGAACTAGAGTAACTAGAGGACAGAGGGTAGCAATGTGGTAAGCCCCATGACAAGCATCATGTTTCTAGGTTTTGAATGGCTCCAGCGACTCCCAAATAGAAAGGCTGGCGAAATTGGATTTTGTTCTTTCCTGATTGACCAATTCAATGCCAACCTTGGACCATAAACGGCCAGTTGAGTAATTTTGTGACCTTGCTTTGCAAGTTTGAACATCAAACTTAGTCAGCTGAACCTTCCCTGTGTGCTTGAGAAAGACCAGCATTTGTTGCTCATCAGATTCCAGTCTCTGCTGGTTCAATCTAACGTGTTGCTGATCTTTCTTTTGCCAGCAAGCTTGTATTTTTTGTTCGCAAGACTCGAATCCATTGGAACCGTCCGAATTTTGGGTGATCAACTGTCCCGTTTTTTTGTTGAAGCCACCCCACTTTTGCCACCTGAAACCCCTGACATCAGCTGGCTCCAGGCATTCAGTCCTTGGAGCTGTTGCTCTCGCATCTGGAGACTGGGAAACGCATCCATGCTACAACTTCCAGGACGGGACGTGCTTCAACCTGTGCCCAAACAACCAGAAAATACATGAAAATATACTTTTTGGATTAATTCGGAATAACTTGGAGTTTTTCAAAAAGAAAAACTATGTCGGCCCTTCCCTGCGCACCGTCCCAGGACCCCTGGCCCTGTGGCGTCACCGTCGGGCTTGGAGTCGCCCTGGCAGCGCTTCCTTCGGGCGGTGCCGGACCGGGACTTGGAGCTGTCCAGCGTCTGGGCCCACGCTGCTGCGCACCTGCAAGGGTTGGAGATGGATCCTGAGCAGCGGGAGAAACTTGGAGGGGATGGAAGGAAGGGGACTTGGGAAGAAGGATAATCATGACTCTTAATGGGATTTGTTAGTTTGGTTATTGGAATTGCTTTAGAATTTGCCCAGTTGGATGTACTAAGGCTGAGGTTTCATCAATTTAATATGATGTTTTTAGCGCCGATATAGGCAACTGGTGGGGGCTATCAAGGATTTGAGTCGTACCTCCAACTAAATCGTTGAGAAGTGGTTAGCCTCGTAGACCACCGGGTTTCTTTCTTACTTGCTTTGAAAGCAAACGGTGTATCTCAAAGATGGTTGCTGCGCTGTTCTCCCCAACAAGGGTCAGCTCATCTAGGTGGGATGCGGTCAAAATAAGCGTAGACTACTTTAGTAAGGGAGGTTCGAGTTGTGTTGAGAAAGCGCACCAAACCATGTAAAGCGATAGGGCACCAACAATAAAACGATAACTTGTAACCATATGAGAGTGCATGCAACTTGGTGTAAACCAAGAAAATATTGTTGTGTGCCTGCACGCGATGGGCAAAATTGATGAAGAAAATTCAACCTGTAGTGCCCTCGTTTCTTGCAGTTGCCATACCATTTGTTGCCCAAGATGATTGAACCGTTGCTTTCTGCAGGCATTTGTTTTTTCTCCCAGGTCAAACTCAACCAAACGCAGCCGAATTCTGAATTAAATTCAAAGATAGTTTAAACTGAATCTAATTCTGAATTCCGTTTTTGTGCTTTACTTTAATTTGAATTGTGTATTCCTTTGTTTCCTTTCCTTTGTTGTTCCTTTCTTTTTCCTTTTGATTTCTGAAGTAAACCAACATTGATTTTGAATCCAATTCTGCATTTCATTTATTTTATTTTATTTCCCTTTTGTTTGATTTGTCCTTTCTTCTTCCTTCGTCTTCTTTTCTCGTCTGTCCTTCCTTTTCCTTTATTTGTTCAATTGTCTTCCACGTTCATTTTTCCTTTCTTGATCATCAAGGTGTTCTAATTTAGCGATAACCTAGCGATAACTTGTTTGAAAAAGGAACCGCAACAAGAAGAATTCAACAAAAAAGCGAACAGGTTCTCAACCCTGGGCCAGCAGGTTCTTTTGAGGCCATCAGGTTGTTTTGAGACTTGGGGAGCCGTAAGCACTTCTTCATAGCTACGAACGCTTATTGGAACTATGAGGTCCCATCTTCAACTTCTAGAGCTTTTGAGCGGGGAGATGTGGCATTTTCTTACGACATGGCTTATCAAAGAAGGACAGTTGCGAGGTGGCCCTTTTTCGTTTTCATAGAATTAGTGATCTTATAACCGTTGGGAACCATTGATCTTAAATAAGTTCAGAGTTGAGCTTGTAATAAATGTCCTTCCTTAGGAAAGAGTCTAGAAATGAGCTTAGAGAGCTCCCCAATATGGTTGCAAACGCAATGACAACGAGCGCCCCTTAATCCATTCCCAGCAGTTTAGAGATCTGAATCCGTGAAGCCAACTCTGCTGCATCTTGCATTATTTAATGTTGATTTGAACAAAACACTGCAAAGCGATAGGCCCCCCCAAAAAAGCGATAACGGATATTTTGGTACCAAGCAACAACACTTGATTTTGACGGCGGCTCATGTGTTCTTCTGCGTGGGCTGTCTTATAGATTTTGACGGTGAACCTCGTAGCAGGTGGATACGCACACACCCCATGATTCAGGACTCAGCTAAAAGACCTGGCTCTCTTGGCCCTTTGGCGCCGTTCCTGCCTGGTGCATCGCTTTCTGGTGGATCGCTTGTCCAACTGTGCCTGCTCCAATGCTGACCTGGCTATCTTGAGACCCTCCATGAAGGCAGAAATTCAGATGTGTCTTGGTGGATTTGAGCTGGAAATAGCTCAAGAGATGGAGTGGGAGAAGGGCAACACTTTGAGAAGTTTTTGTGTTGCTGGATTGATGTTCGTGTTTGAGGCCAAAAATCATATTTACACTCCAGAAAGTTGCAAAATAGATTTGAAGTTGGGAGAAGGGTAGGATATTCCAACTGTTTGAGGGCCTCACGTTGGCAATCTTATTGTCGTCTTTTGGCCATTAGGTATAAATACCCTTCCAATAATTTCAAGTTTGTGGATTGCTTGCATCAACGTAGCCAACTCCATGGTCCATCTAAACCACCATTGCACCTCCATGGTATCACCACCTATCCTGTTTTGGCAGGCTGAAGCACCCAAAGGATCTTAATACATATACAATCCCCTGTTCATATGAAACACCCCATCGTATGGTCCCAGCATCCCCGACTAAACCTTGGTTTCTGCGGTTTTTTAATATTCAGGGAAAGGAATGGGATGAACAGGTATGCTTAGTAACAGGATTATACTTGATATATTTGGTTTAGCCTGGATGGTTTTGGTATATACATGCATATGTAACATATGTAATTAAACTCAACAATAAATCCCATCATACAATTGCCAATGGTAAAATCCCGTTATTTATCCCATCAAACCCCATCAAATCATCATGTGCACTGGTTGAAAATTCCACTTTACGCGGTAAACCCAATGCCATGAACCTACCATTGCGGAAGATGGCTATCACCCCATTTAGAGTGGTATAAGAGGACATTGAAATGATTTTCTTTAGGTTTTTACCACATATTTCCATTCTAAGCCCAGGTTCAAGGGCCTCCTGACAGCCATCAGCGCCGGCTCCGTGGGCGCCTGCGCCGTAGCCGCCACGGCGCAGGCCACGCGCGACGCGGCGCAACAGCGCCGCAGCGCCGCAGCGGCGGCTGCCACGGCACTGGTGCAGCGCCGGTGCCCGGCGGCGCCAGTGCCAGTGCCGGGGAGGGCGCCGGTGGAGCCGCCAAACAGTGCCTGGGCTGGAGGTTTGATGAGGTCTGGGTTTGAAGATTTTGATTGTTTTGAGTGTGTTCTTATTGTTGTTTTGTTTTTTTGTGTTTTCTTGATTTCATTGTTGATGTTGGGGGTGTTTTTCTCGAATCGTTGTGCCCAATAATTTCGAATTAAAAATCCACTGACGTTTCTTCTGCAGATTTGCAAATAGATTCTGACATGGGTGGTTGCACTTTTTTCCACGCAGGGTATGCTGGAGAGTTTGGGGTGTAACATGCAGGAGCGCCAATGGTCAGATGATGACAGTCAGATGTGAAACAGTGGAGCTGCAGTTCTTGTACGGTCATGGTGATGGAACGTGATGAATGTGTATACACACTTTCCGCACAGCTAGACAAGAACGGATATCAGTGGGGGAAGTGGAGGGCTGGGAGGCTATTTTCTTTTAAATCTCCCACGGGTGGCACAACTCCACGCTTCCTTTTGAGGCTGAAAATTCTGCTCATTGGTTTGATGAGGGAAATTCAATTCAAACGCCAAGAAGCATATTTTCGTGAGGTAAATTCCGTATTCAAGGGCGTCCATCCTTCCTTTCCCGTGTTTTTTCCAACAACGCACATGTCAGTCACCTCAGATATTGATAGCTGTGGCTGGGCTTTCCCCCTTCCCCGGCTTCAACAACCAGGTACCGTTGAAGGCATCCAACGTTGGCTGCACAGCGTGCGTGAGACGGCCAGTGTGGCAGCCAGCGGGTCGGACACTGACTGGAAACGACAGAAGGAGGTGGCCTTTGGGAGATGGAAGCGATAGGGTGGCGAGTTAACCAACAAAAACGATGACTTAACCAAGAAAAACCGTGGTTTAATGGAGGACGAAATGATTACAAGTGCGCAAGTTGACCAGATTGGTATTTTGATTACCAGAAAAGGTTACGTAACCAACAAAAAAGGTGATATAATGAATGTTTCATGGTGACAAGTTGATGATAATTGGGATATATCACAACAACCTTAAGCCACAACGTCACTGTAATTGATGCTTAGGATTGGGGGTAGTCATCTAAAAAAAACATTGCGCTTTATCCAGACAGTTTTACCATCCTGATTGTTTGCTAGTGGTTTGGAAAGTTAGGAAAGTTGCTTTCCTACAAACATGAGTCTGTTCCTTTAAAATACCGACTAGGAACCCTGGCGTAGTATTGGATCTATTCATGAGATTGGGTTCCCGCACTGCTATTTATCACCACCAGTCCAATATGGTAAAGTTACGTTAAACCACATTTGTGATGTTAAATACCATGTCAATGTATGCTACAACCACTTTTTTGATATGGTTTGGTGTTTAGATCGCCTGTGATTACCATGTGATGCCGCCCAGTCATGTTTTTTAAACGCATTAGTTATATCTACATCCTCCATAAACCATAGAATTTACCTAGCTATGGGCGTTAACGGGGACCGCACCTTGTGGGGCTGCCAGGTGCTCCGTGCCGGCTTAACTGGCACCGCGGTGTGCCTGGGAAGCGACAGCTGGCCATCGCCCAAAGGCAGGATATTTTCATTGCGGGATGGGGAGAATGTTTGAACAATTGCACAAAACATTGATTTCTGGGTAAATTTCATCACGACCTCACTGCGACCAAACCCTGGAAATCATGATTAATAAGGGGAATCATCCCCAATTGCCCTATGTCAGGTTAGAAATATTATAATTTACCCAAATTGATTTCCATGGGAAAACAAACCCCCATGTTTTTTGCACGCCTTCTGGCTTGCTTGAAACAAAACCATAAACCCAAAGCTGAAACACAGTATAATAATTAAATATAATTAATTACAGCGCCTTGTGGTTCGCAAACAGGGAAGTCCCCGCACGAAATGGGCGCCGCCTACAAGCAATGCATTTTCCATTGCGGTTTGTGACTGGTCCCCATGGATCCACAGATTCCCTGAGAATGTAATAAACCCCGCAAATCATATTCAAATACTTCCTGCGAAGGTACTTGGGAATGGTACATCCAACTGTTTCCCGCTTGTTCCCTTAAACCAATCCACTGACAAACAGCAAAACTCTAAAACCATAGACCAATTTAACCACTTTGTGACCATACCGGTTTATGAGATGGGGCGATTGGCGCACCAAGTCCTCAGAAAGCCCATGAGTTTGAATATTTGAAAGCAGCGTTGAATTTTGTGAAGGGGTTCCAAAGTTGGAGGAGGTGGTGTGGAGAATCCATCAATTCGGACGTCACATCCTTAAATACGGAAAACAAAACTTGGTGCCATCTTCTATCCAAGTCGTGACCAGCTTGGTAGGTTCCTTGAAAATCACTTCGGAACGCGAGTGCGCAATTTGTTTGGAGATGCTTCCCGCTGGCGCTACGCCAGAGAAAGTCATTCCCCTGCCATGTGGCCACTCCTTCCACTCCACCTGTGCGTGCCTTGGCTTTCTTATACTTAGTTTCGATGCTTCAAAGAATGCTTCAAAAATCCGTATTGCGGGGATTATGTTTATTCGAAAATTTGTCAAGTATGAATCGCTTGAGTGCACTAAGTGCAGTCAACCAATGAAACGTTTGTTGAAAGCGCCATGGTGACCCTGGTGGGTAAGGCTCCCAAGTGTGGTCAAATGGCTTGTAGCTCAATGTCGGATCCCAGTTGTCACATTTTCTGTGGGATATATTTCACATAGCCATGGAAAGTGACCATTTTCTATGAAATAGGAACGTTTACCATTGCAACTTGTTAGATTACCAGATGGCAGCTGGAAATCACAGGATTTTTTTGTCGTGGTGAGTGATGGAGCCAGAACCTGTGTACTTGCGCTATAATGATCTTCCCTTTGTCTATTGCTGGTTGGTGGTTTGGAACATGGATTTTTTTGACTTTCCATAGATTGGGAATCATCATCCCAACTGATGAACTCATATTTTTCAGAGGGGTTGAAACCACCAACCAGATTATGTCTGAAAAGGTAGGGCCCACAGTTGTGAAATCATGTCTTCCAATTTGTTTTCGAAGAACAGCAAGGCAGCCCAGGTGTAAATCAATGCTGCTACTGATTGATCAGGTACATCTATTCAATCCATGGGTATGCTGACATCTACCCTTCGAGGTCGCAGTGGCTGCAGAAGTGTCCGCGCTGCCCGGTGTGTCGGCATTCGCCGTTCCTGCCGTTAGAGGTGAGGAAAACGCCTCTGTCTTGATTGCAGATAGCTCTCACGGTCTCACCCCGCAACTCCAGCAGCCTTGGAAGATGCGAGGCGGAATGGCACGTGGGAATCAGACCCTTGGAATAATCTGACTAGATGATCCCTTGGAAAAAGCAAAAATGAAGGTGTGGCAATCCGTCAGGGTGATTCTTCAAGATTACTGATCATACAAGGGTCGTACATACTGCTGTACATTCCTACAAGACAGCACTCAACATCTGCGGTGACCAAAAAGGGCCCAGATTCTTTCAGTCTCACTCAGTTTGCGTGAAAAACGGCCACCTGCAGCAGCTTTGACTGCGCTCTCCTGATCATCATCAACCACGTGGCTGGGAGTGGCTGGGATGGAACAGGGCCTTGGTAGATGCAAAAAGGTGATTCACCTAGATGTCATCACTTTATGTTTCAAGTTTGATGATGTTTGCCATGTTGAATGTGCGTTGCCGGTCATGCCAATGACCAACACAAGGGCTTGTTCCAAGTAAAAAGTAACAATTTGCTCAAGTCTAGTTTTATTCCTTCCAATCAAAACTATCAAACCCCTAAAGAAATGGTCTAAAGTCTAAACTCTGACAACATAAATTTCAACCTGCTTGATTTCATCCCTCCACTGGAGTCCTATGGGGCCCAGGAACCAAGGAATCCCTCTGTGGCAGGTGACCTTTGATGGCCGAGTGCTCATGAGGCTCTGCTGGTGTGGAGGGGACCTCAAAGGCAGTGTTTTTTGAAGATGTTTGCCCGCCTTGGGTGGACGTTGGTGGTCTAACTTTTGAAGACTGTTGCAGGATGCTCGGTGGATTTTGCAGGTATATGATATGTGATTGTATATTGTATCGCATCTTTTGTTTTGGTCAAACCTTGTTGCTTTGGTGGTTCAAGTATGGGCGAATGCGGGGCAATAATTCTTGACATCAAAAATTAAGAAAGAAACCAACGACCAAAACAAGAACATTTTCAGGATTCCAACAGCCAAAAGCGAGTAGTTGACCGAAAGGGATACTCACTTCAGCAACACGAAGGGATATCAGCAGCTGATTGGCAAATGTTGGTAGTTGATAGTCAGCTCTACCCCCAACCCACCTCGGAGTCCAGGTCGCTGTCCCTGTTCGCACCACTGAGCAACGCAGCCTTGACCGCTGAGCGGTGTAATGGCTGGAGGCGGGCTTTTTAAGCAGCGAAAGTGGCCCTCACCTGGGACGGCTTACGCGGATTTTTGCAGATCGCAGCTACCCAACATGGGGAACTTATCCTCAAGTGACTCAAGTGCACCTGCCATTTGGGGAATGTACGTTTTTTGGGGGGCATGGAACATGAGTAAAAAATCAAGTGTCCAGGCATGTCCAGGCATGTTTTTGTGGCTGTATGTTGGTTCGCGACGGTTTTTGTCCCATTGATTCGATCAAATTTGTCTTTGTGGAACCTGCAGCTTGAAAGGATGGAGTCACGGCTTGAGCACGATTTACAATGTTCGCTCTTCTTGTTTCGCCCTATTTGTACCATGTCGTTGGGATGACATCCTTCAGCTCATACTTGCGAGTTGCCCTGAAACCACCGGCATTTACGGGACCTGTGGCGCGAAGGTGTCTCAGCTACCTTTGGCTGGGCCCACACAAGCTGATGCAGAGAGGGGTTGGAGCGGAGTGTCCGGGCTCTGAGTTTGGGAATGATGGAAGCTGAACCCGTTTCCAAGGGGGGGACCAGGAGAAGACATTGTTGATAGCCAAGGAAGGATGTCAAAGTTTTAGCTCTGGATTCATGTGAAGCTCATACATACCATACCAAGCACAATGTAGAATAATAGACGCGCTGGTCTCCACGGCTGACGCGGGATAATTAGGGCAGATGGGTGCGAAAAGATATTGGAACTCTTAATGTTCCGCTTGAAAAGTCAAGTGAAGTCTCCAAAAGCCATCAGAAAGATGGGTGGGGATGGGTTTACAGAGATCGTGTTTGGAGTGGCTTTGAACAAATCAGCCAAGACTTGCCCATTCCACCTATGATTTCACCAGATACGACCATTGCAACCCCCTTGCAGCCTAACTGTGTTCTGACATATGTATAAATATAGAAGACGTGGTCAGAGGAACTGTTATCACCTCAAGTTCTGCAGTGAGGCACGTACCTTGTCTTTCATGTTTTCTGGATGTGTTACCAATTAGTTCACCCAGACTGATTTGTCAAAACTGGAGCCTTACATACCGTCGTGCGCATGATGACTACGTAATTGGGGAGCCTTACTGCAAAGTTATCTTTTCATAAAGCTAAGATGGTCGTGAAGCAAGAAAACGTAACATAGGCGTGAGTTCAGATTTAAAGCTCTCAAACCCACCGTTCTTGATCATTCTTCACGGCAAAAAATTGAAGCCAGCTTCAGAGGTGCTTTGCCCCCATGCCACCAGGTGGGATTGATGATGAGGGGATAGACTTCATTGCCAGCGCTTGCACCCTGCTACAGGAGATTTTTGAGGGGCTGCATTGGAACTTACCTTCAGGGAGCTTTGGGGGTTATGATCTATTTCAGCCATCCATAGCCATCCAAAGTGGCGACTTTAACCTACCAACATTCCCAGAAGTTGAGTGAAGGGAATAGCCAAAGGGAGCCCAAATATTCAGACAGAAACATCAGGTTTGATCCTGGCGTTCAAACCCAGTGGTGGTTGGTAGTGTCCCGAGCTTTGGTGACTTTTTTGCAGCTGTTTTTGACAAGGTGCATCCTTATTTTGATCATCTCTCGGCCTTGCGTCCCTATTTTGGACATGGCTCATCACTCCCGAAACAAAATTTCAAAAGCACCCGCTTAATAACAGGTTTTGGAGGAGGTGTAGAATCTGGATAGAGTTAGGGTTTATCTATGGTTATCATTGTTTAATTTTGTTTATCTTAGTTTCACATGGCCAGCACTCAGCACACCTCATTGGCCCTTTTGCCATTCTCTAACTTTCTAAGTTCAAGGCAAATTATTAAAAGACTGGAAACATACTGAACCATATGGCCCATAGCATTCATCCCGACTGCAAGGTGGTGCCCAGTGAATATGAGCTGACTTGTATTGTAACATCTTGTACCAACCATTAAACATATATATATATTTAATAATAATAGTAATAATAATGATGTTATCTATGTATACATGCGTGTAGTGACATATCATGACATAGCAAGTCTAGTTATTGGAGTTATGTTTGCCAACTTAGCGGTTTAGCAATGTTTCGCTCATTGGGGCGTCACCTTGATCCATCACTATATCCCATGAAATACCCATATGGCATTCCATTAAATCACCCCTTTTGACGCTTATCCCATTCAGTCTCATTTTTATTTTTGCAAGTTTTCACATGTAGCAAGCCACTTAACTACAGAATGTTCATTGATATCTCCTCATTCTATCGCAATCTTTGCTGCTTAACTCACCAATGTTGCTGGCTAAAACTCACCAACAGGGCCGTGGCCGCTCCCGTGGCGATCCGCCAGGACCTCACCGTGGCGTCGTTTCATTTGACCGATGCCTCGGTCGATAGCTGCGTCCGGCGCTTGCGGGAGCTGCGGCGCCTGCGCTTGAGCGGAGCCATCACGGTGCGCGGAGGGTTAGGCTCAGGTGGTGCGATTTTATAACCGAAAATGGTGGCTTAACCAACAGAAAATGGTGGCTTAACTAACAAAAAATGTGGCTTATCCAGCAAAAAAATGTGACTTATCCAAACAAAAATTGCGGTAGAATGGAGATATCGCGGGTGGGTATAGATCCTTAATGTGGCAAACCGAATGCCATAAACCATCGGCGATACCATCAGACATGTGTATGAATCGTGAAAAAGGAACTATTTCCTGTTTTTCTTCGGGATTGCTATAAGTTGATGCTTATAAGTTACTGGTAAAACACAGGGAAATTAACCCAAAGACCCTGTAGGCGAACTTTTCCAGGCTAGGAACTATCGCGATCTGGACATGTGCTTGTTGTCTTTCTATATCTCTCTGTTTTCCCGGATAGAAACTTGGTTTAGGTAAATGAGACTGTCGGGTTGGTGGTTGGATGTTAGTTGCTTCCTGAGCTGTCAGAGTTGGTGCCTTGGATTGTGGTTAGGACAATATGGGTTTGTCGTGGTTTGTTTGAAAACAGGATACCCCTAATACCATTGAATCAAGGCCCAATTATCGTATATGGTTGGTTTTATTTTCAGACAAACCCTCGTGTTCTCTTCCCTGAAGCTTTCACACTATGGATAACAAACGCTTGCCAAGCCCTGACTATTTGGTAGTTTTGCGATGGTAGCTTGGAGGACGGAAAAAAGGCTGCGATTTTTTTTTTGCACAATGTTGATTTTCAGACAGACCCATGTCGCAGCCAGGATGAATGTTTCCAACTGCTTCGGAGCGTGGCTAAGCAGCCACGTCTGGAGTCCTTCTCGCAGGGGAGCCCAGTAGGATTGAGAAGCCACAGGGCGCATTGTGCTTCGGAAACTTGGACTGGATGGATGGTTCCAAGTTAGAAGAATTGGGTGCTATATAATTATCACTGGAATGAGGTTCAATTCTGGTCTGGCTGTTTGCTAGTGAAGTGATGTTCTCAATCGTTGTAAACTGTTACACTTCTGGTTTTATGTGGCTTGTAGTGGCCCAACGTTAGAGGATAGGAAGTGGACAATTTTTGGCTTTGATTGACTTAGATGATCGGGAAACAAGTTCTGAAAGTTGTTGGGGTTGTCACTTTGTGTAGGATGCTGCAACCCTTTTCAGTATGAGATGTAATATACCGCAATAGAATGAGTATTAAGGTTTCTGCTGTTTCTTGTGAGCAGGCGGAAAGCAAGTGCATGCTTTACTTTCAACATGGCCTGCTCCCGACCACAAGAAGCATGTTTCATGTACATCTGAAAGCGATTTTTGTATGTGATTTGCTCAATCCCACGT